GAAATGCGTGCAGCATAGATTCTTCCATGACTTCCATGACTTCCATGTTATACTGTCATGTTATGTAGCAGGATCGAGAAGTGCTGTTCGCTGCACCTTGAGGTTCGGATGTCGCGCTTGATGCCGTGCAGACGTTTGGTCTTGCGCCCCCTGGAGGCAGTAGTGCATAGCACATACTACACAATCGACAACTGTAGATAAATTGAAATGATGCATCTGTAAGTATTTGTTTTTCTATTAGTATGTAATACTTGATATCTAATACTCGATATATGCATATAGTTTATACTGCATACTTGTACTGTACAATGCACAAATCGATTTTCATGTGCTGTTGGGGCAGCATTGCGGGATGTGCCCGCTAATGAGCCACCTTTCCAGGGCTTTGGATCCAGTTTGCTTTTCTTCTTGACTGATTCAAGCATCTGCTCCGGGAGGCTTCCAAAATATCGCGCAAGGAATAGCGCTCAGGGTATCGGGAAGGGTTTTTTCGTGGTTGTCAAGAAGAGAGCTTACCACTCGCCCGCTGAGCCCAGGATCTCCTTCGCCACTGAGAAGGCTTTGTTCGCTTCACGGATTTCAAACGGCGTTCATGGGCGGTAAGGTCGTTCGCAGATGGGCTAAGTCTTGAAGTGCCAGCACCTCCAGGTGCGAGGAGACCGTGAAGTGATCATGGCGGCTGTGCGCAAGGACACGAATGGGCTGTCAATCTTGTGGCCGAGGTTTGCAGCTTGCGGTCCTCTTTTGTTGTTTCTTGATCAGCTTTTAAGGTGAGGTGCCTCACAAGAATGCCAGCAAATTTGTAGCAAGATTGTTTCGTCGATGGTGAACCCCTCTGCGGCACGCCCTTTCAAAGCATTTCGTACTGCAGCAGTCCTCGACCAAAGTTTGCAACAGGTTCCTGTCCACAAAACCAGTGCCGGCTAAGAGCATGTCCGCGAAAGCAACCTCAGTGCAACGCCAAGAGCCAGACAAGTTCACAACAAGCTCCAACACATCCCACTCACTCATGCGCGCCTCATTCTTCCAGGCGCTGCGCATGTATTACAGCCGCGAAGGGCAGCCACTCTAAGGCCTAAGCGTCAAGCCTGAAAACAGCCCTCTGGCCCACAATGTTTCAGGCTGCATGTTCCAAACGAACTCACTGATGCTCAGTGAACACAAGAGCGACTCTGCTTAAACACATCCCTATGAGCCCAAAGCATTCCCATAGCCCCATAGCCCCTAACCGCCGAGTCTGCGAGGATGGGATGGCTTTGGCCTATGCGTCCCAAGAACTTCAGGATGACGAGGCAGTCATCGAGGCCTCCTGAACAATGTTGGGGGGGTGGGGGGGACTCGAATATTTGAGCACTTCCCGGCACCAACATGTGACAACTCGTATCCTGGTTCAGACGAAGTCCCGAAGTGGTGCCCCTAGTCTTTGGGGAAAATATGGGGAGGTGCCCTGATGATTTCGGACGGGATAAATGGGGGATGCTGGAATTATCCTGGAGTGCCCTGCAGTCATCGAGGCATGTGGTCGTTTGGGCTCTGAAGTTTGAGATCAATCTGAGCCACCCTGAACCCTAAGAGCCCTGTATGAATACCAAGTGCACTAAACCTGCTCCAGGCTGCCACGGAGGAGAATCCTCGGGCCCTGCAGTTTGCAGCCGACCGCTGGCGACGTGATCGGGAGCTCTGGGCACACCCGGGCACTGGGCACGAGCTTTGTTCTATTGCCCCCCTTAGGAATGATTCTTTGTGTTTATTTATGTAAAATTCGAGGAATACTAAACGTATTGTTTTAATTCAGGTTCTAAGGGGAGTATAGTGTTGGCTTCGTAGGAGGTTGCCGGTGTCTTTGTGCAGGGCTTCGGGTTTTAGAGGTCTAGGATAGCATATGCAGTTGGGGAGGGTCTAATGCTGCTGTGCTTAGGCTGCGACCAAACAATCTGGGTTCCTTGCTTACTTGCGACCTACAGTTCCAGATGCCCTTGGAGAAGGATCGAGTGGCTCAGTAACTCAAATCACAGAATGATATATATAGGCCCGTGTCAGATACTGCTCCCTTCAGCAGTTCAGAAATACTCGTACCAGCTTCCCTCTTAATGACAGGACTCGAGGCGACACGCTGCGGCCAAAGCATCCCACACTCTGAGAAGGGTGCTCAAAAGATCTTGGCAGTGCGTAAGTCCAAAGACGACGCAAGTTCCGAGGCCCCATGAGCCGACCCCCCCCCCCCACCCCCCTCCCCAAACTGAGAGGAGCTTCTGCTGCGCATACTTCAGATCGACGGGCTTGCGCTGGAGTTTGTCACAGGAGGCAGATGCGGGGCTCGCAGCTTCGTCTTGCCGTGACTATTTGGTTTTTGTCGGTCATTGGCACCATGGCTAGTGGCATAATCCTTGCTTTCCTAGGTACGAACGCAGAGTTCTCGCTTCTGCAATTCTTTGTGGCTGCTGTGGCTGCTTTTTCCACCATCAGTAGCGAGGTTGTCCACTTCATTGGCGCTACTGCTGCTGACTGCTATCATGACAGCTATTACTACTGCGAACAAGTAGGAACCGGCATAACTTTGATGGTGGCTTTTGAGCAGCCGATGTTGGTTGCGATGTTGGCTGGGGCGGATACTCGTGCCACAAACTGCATTTGTGACGCCCATTCCGGGTGAGCAGCTGTTGTCAACAAAACATGTCAGTGCTTTTTCTGCCCTTGGTTGGCATCAAGCAGTTTGCTTGACTGGGCAGGTCTCGCGAACGACTTCGACATTTGCATGGAGGTAGGGCAGGGTGCAGAGGCGACACTTCGCCTCATGCTTCTTCTTGCATCCGTATCCACTGATCTCTATGACCAAGATTGTTTTGATGCCTATTAAACTTGTTTCATATGAGTACTTTAAGAGCACCCTTCAAAGATCTCCAACGCAGCTGCAAGTTGAGGCAAATAACATGTCTATATTCCTTTGACTTTGGGACGTTGCGCACCAGCATTGGCAAGGCAGTAAGCCAGAATGGAGCTGCGCTCATCCACTGCTCGGCGGCGATGAGCGCCCGCCTTGGTCGAGTCCTCTTGTTGGGGGTCCATTTCGGGTTGTGGCAGAAAGGGTGCTGTATCATGGCAAGAGCCCCCCGAGCAAAATCTTAATCCCTGCTGTCGAGATTGCCACACTTCACGGGCTGCTTGAAGCTGCGGCATGAGCTGGTGTCAATAACTTGCGGGCCGAGGAGACAATGATGACATCGTCCGAACGGCCCTCGGCAACGATGGCATGCAGATCCTGCAGCTTCCCTCAATCAGCCGACCTTCCCTGAACTGCGCGAAGCAATCCTTAGAAACACATGGCCAATCTTCGGACTGTCGGTCCTCTACCCCCCCATGTCGATAATGACGCAGTACAACCGCGAACTGTTCGGGGCGAGTGCGGATGCGGGGCAGGGGCGGAGCAGGGAGCCCTGTTTTAGACCAGCTCTCGAATTCGTTTTCAGGTCCGAATTCCACATACACACACACATATATATATAGTATATATATATATACTTTTGTGATTATTATTTTTGTTTTATATAATCTGTCTTGAGACAGTTGAGGCCGCACATTCTTCGGTAGAAGTATCATCCTCCCGTCGTGGCCCACGTAGCACATTCTTCTGCAGAGGATTTGTCGGATTGGCTTGTGCGGTTTCGATCCGAAGTTCCACCTAAAGACCGCCCGAGATGCACTCCTTCCAACATGCAACTGCTACCATACCATGAGAAGCCTCGTGCACAACCTGTGACGGTTTGTAAATCTCCCGTGTGTTTTGGAACTCGGAACCAGAACGCCGCAAACCGGGGCTTCCGAATACCTTCGCTCATCAGCCGTGGATCTAGGATCTGTCTGTGGGCGAGTACTAGTTGCGTACGGTCTGGCACACTTTGAAAAACGAGGTTGGCCTAGTAGTGCTAGCCGAGGAATGTCTCCAGCCGCCTTCGGGAGGCATCCCCGCTCCTTCCTGTGGTGGGAGAGAGATAGGCAAGAGGTCGTTTCTGCATCGGATTCAAAAGCAGAAGGCTCAGCCGGTAACCGATTTCTGGGTTCCAATCTGCGGCAGGATCGAGAGCTGGTCAAGATTGCTGTGAGTTTCTTGGACGCAGAACTTACGGATGCCAGCCTTCGCCCCAAGCGCACACAGGGCACGCGAACCAAAGCAGAGTCAAATCCTTACTTCTTCAGGTCCCCTGAATTTCAAATCCCAAACGTCCAAAACGAGAACGGAACCAGACTGCATGGTGGGTCCCTCGCTCATGAGGAGATGACGTCGTCTCAGGTTTTGAAGCCTATCATAATGACAAGCCCCTTCATAGAGCAGGGTTTGTTTGTGAATTCCTGCGTTGGCTCGAGACGCTACTTTCGACCACCAATCCCCACACCTCAGGGGTTCTAGTGTTGTTCATGATCGGCATTCAAGCACCAGCGAAGAAGCCGTTCCGAAAGCGGGAGCTCAGTACAGCCGACATTCTAAGTCAAAGCCAGCCAAAGGCTTTTTGCATTCCAGAAAACCGCTGTATAGGTACGCTGGTCTAGGATGGCAACACAGCTTCAACATCTTGCGACATGTGGATCAGACATGGAAGTTATTGCATGCTCAAAGGCGATATTCACAAGCTTGGCATGGAAGTCTCGAACAATCCCGGTGTGTCGGTTTGGGGTGTATGATCGGGTCGATGCGCATACCGATGCAGGAAAAATAGTGCGCGCGGTGTCCAGCCATGCGGCGCGGTGCGGTGCTGCGCAGTCCATGGCCGCTACTTTCAGAGCACGTCCGCTTTTGGGAGCTGCTCGTAGGCCCTGCGTGCCAGCTCCTCTGTTGATTGCCGGGCGATGCGCCGTTGCTGTCTCCGATAGCAAGAGGCTGCAGGCACTGGCTGGCATGCTGCACAAGGCCTTGGGGGGATGTTCGGTTTTGCGCAGTAGTTATTGCTGTTGCTTACGGAGGAGAGGGATATAAAGCCAAGGTGCCACCAGGCAAAGTGCCCTTCATGGCTCTGTCCGCGGGTTGCGATCACACCTGTGTGGTCGCAGAAGGTGGGCACCTACATTGCTTCGGCTCCATCTACTCAGGACAATGCGACGTACCCCCTGGTTTGGGGTCTGTTGTTACTGTCTCCGCTGGCTGCCATCACTCCAGTGCCGTATGTGCAAACGGGCACTTGACCTGCTTCGGTTCCAACATGGCAGCACAGCTTGAAGTTCCTGCAAACTTGGGGTCAGTTGTTGCCGTGTCGTCAGGTTGCTTGCATACATGTGTAGTGAAGCCTTCTGGTCAGCTGGTGTGCTTCGGCGACAACAGCATGGACCAATGCAGCATTCCTGATGGATCAGGAAGCATGTTGGCGGTTTCAGCCGGCTGCGACCACACATGCGCTATGACTTCCAGTGGGCACCTGGTCTGCTTTGGATCAAATGGCTATGGGCAATGTGACGTGCCGGAAGACTTAGGACCTACTTTGGCCGTTTCTGCGGGCAGCAATCACACGTGTGCTTTGCGTGCAGATGGGCAGCTGGTTTGTTTTGGATCGAACTTGGACAGTCAGTGCAATGTGCCTCCAAACTTGGGGCCAGTGACCGCTGTTTCTGCAGGCTTTGACCATACGTGTCTATTGACATCTGAAGGCCGCTTGGTTTGTTTTGGGGACAACAGTGCTGGCCAATGCGAGGTACCTTCTGACTTGCATTTTGCAGTGGCAGTGTCTGCGGGACGCGCTCACACCTGCGCTCTCACGTCAGATGGTCGGCTGGTTTGCTTTGGGGAGAATGACGTGGGACAATGTAAGGTCCCAGCAGAACTGACACAAAGGGGTCATCCCTCATGCTGTGGTGAGTGTGCTGGGACTGCTTGGCATGTGGGACGCGATAAGACAGTTGCGCACCTTGAGTTTGCAGATCACACGCACACAATGTCTTCAGTTCTGGGTACAGCTTCGCGAAGCCTATGCATGTGCGGCTTTCAGCGCTTAGTCAGTGTAACTGCGTCCTCTCAGCCATGTCGTGTTCGGACACGACCGCATCTGAGACCAGGCATGTGCGTTCTGTATCCATTGCACTCTACTTGAATAGCAATCAAGAACCCGAGACAGCGTGACTATGCACAAGTAGCTCATTTCCAAAACTTACCATACTTAGAGCAGCAGTTATTGCATGGCCACCAGTGAACCGACCAGATGACCGATGCAGAGGGGCCGAAGGCCAGCATTCTGTACTGCGTCTGGCGCATGGTCTTGGGGATGTTTCGATTTTTTTATGTTTGGGGTGTTCAGTGTTCAGGTCTTGGGATCACATTGTTGCGGATAGGGTTTCCGACTTAAGGATTCCCCAAGGGGCTAGGGAGATCTCCATGCATGTTGCCTCAGGGCGCGTTATGCCATTCTGGCGCGTGATGAATCCAAAACTGCGTCAGCCCACAGCACGGGCCCGAAACAGCGAAAACCAAGAAACGCACATGCAAAGAAGTCTGTCGATCAGCCGATGCGAACAGCCTCCGAACTCCACTCGAAAAATGTGAAATGTACAACTGCAAAAACCTTGGAGGGCAAGCGGCCATCCTACACTTCCTGCAAAGGCCGAGAGCCCGACGTCCAGGGTCGCCAGCTCCGAAAATTTGAAGCTCCAGGCCTCGCACTTGAGTCAAGTACGTCACTCGAGTCACTTGAGCATTAGGTCATTAGGAAGGCAGCCACAGTGCTAGCTACGCTTGCACCTTCAGCATCTCCACCAAACCCCGCGCTCTGTGAGACACCTTGCCCTACGAAGGTCGAAAGCCCGACGTCCAGGGTCGCCAGCTCTGAAAACTTGAAGCTCAAGGCCTCGCACTTGAGTACTGATTGCGGCTATTTATGGCTTGTAAGTCTTTGGCAAATTTAGTCCATCCAGCAGACTTGATGGTTTTATCGTTGCATCTGTTTTACTCATGTTTATCGGGATAGCTCGCCAGTTTCCTGTAGACAGCTTCCGTCTGGTGGTCGTGTGTTGGCCTTCGTACAAATACAGAAGTGCCTGACGTGGGGCCTGCATACCGAAGCGATACCACTGATCTGTCAATCGCAAACAAACATGCTGAGTTTCACGTGAGCGGCATCACTTATTGCGTAAAGCATGTCTTGATTTACTTTGCATAGTTTTGACCATCAATTTCATTGTTGGACTTCAGTGGGACTTGTAAGTCACTTACATAGCGCTCGAAACCCACTTCTCGAATTCCAACGGCTGTCACACATATATCTACCGTATATGTTTTGCAAGTTTTAAAAGGCCGTCATTGAGTATGCCCTGCAAGGTTGAAAGACGGACATCCAGAGAGGATCTTGTCTCGAAGGCTGGCGCCCTCATCACACAGGATTCCGCCTGGAAATGGCCGCAGTTTAAAGTTCCGTTGCCATGTGTATGTACCTCAGTCTCAGACACATGCTGCGGAGCCGGATGCAATGCTGCGGGTCTCTACTGTGTCCTGCGAGCACGTGGCCATCGATTCGTTTGCCGACATGTTTTGCTTGCTTCAGCTCAGAGGTCTTGAGCCAGGACCTTGCGGTCTCCCGGTGCAGGGCTCAGCACTCCGCAGCCAGCAGGATACATTGGCATGTTTCAAACAGATCGTCAGTTCGAGAGAACGATCTTTGCAAGTTGGGCCCTGTGTGGCGCTGCTGATGGAAAATCGAAAACGTGTGAACTTCACAGTGCTGCTAATGGCAAGGGGAGCAACTCATGGGAGCCTTGCGTTGCCACCTTAGCCTATACAAGCTGAGGGGCGTGAAGGAAGTCGAAGAGCACCGCGGAAAGCATTTCGAAGATCACCCCTTGCAAAGCACTTCAGCATGTGCCTGCAAGAATCGTTTGCTGCGTTGAGGAAGCATATCCCAACATGATGGGCATGCCAAGGGCTCCATGTAACATGCACACTTAATCGGTAGGAGTGACGGGAGCAGTTTTGCAGTCAGGGCGGTGTAGGGCTTGGGGCATAGATAGCGTCTGTCGTTGCGACGATTCTGAGCTGCTTATTTGATGGCATCTTTTGCTCCCTTCCCACTAGTACCACACCTTCCTCCCTTTCTGGAAAGGAAACCAAAATTAAGAACAAGCAGGAACCTGGAGGGCATGCTTTGGAGGTCGCTGGAGCTTTGGCAGCTTACAGGTACTCTGAGCGAATTCCGGAATCTGCCACACAAATAAGTGGGGCTGGTTTATGTCCCCAATTAAAGCCAAAAGCCAAGGTCGCTGTGCCAGCAAATTCGCGAGCTCCGACGGTCTTTGGAACACAGCATCGAGGTCGGATGAGAATTCAGCGAGCCGCGTTTCGACAGATCCGTGTTTTCTTCGAGAATAGAAAATGATATAAGATACTGAACAACACTGTACAGCACTACACACAAGTATAGCAGTATAATGATATTACGAGTACACTTTAAAGTAGTACAATAGAATACCTTCAGACAATGATAAACAGAAATGCGACTAGAATGACACACAATTACAGTATAGATATATTTACAGATACTAGCTAGAGCAATAACATGCAATAACGATATTAACAAACAAATCACTCTGATAAAGCCTAGACCAGGTCGTCACTGGCACCACGGTGTCCCAGAAACAAAGCCTCGAGGCGGGGGGCCTGTGCTGCAAGAGTCAGCTCCCTTGAAAGGCCTTTCTTTAGTGTCTTTGTCCTGCTAACTTAGGGCCCCTAGAATTCAGGGTGCCCAGGAACCATAGTTAGGAGAACTGAGCATCCACCAGAAACCTGGCAGAAGCAGGGCGGGGAAGCTCCACTGGCATGGCAGGTCGTGAACGCCAAGCTGCGAGTGGCGTGGACCTTAGTGCAGATGCTCCGGGGCTACTGGGGCTTTTTCGATCTTGTCTGCATAAGTTTTAATTAAGAAGCTTCGGCACGTTCCTTGCTACGGGGAACAGCAAGCCCGCAAACTCTGAAAGGTTTGGTACATGTGAGACGCTGAGTGGACCGAATGGAAGCGGGTACACTTTATTTTGTTTTGAGGTGCTGTCTTACGGGGCCGTGATTATTGTCATTGCGCGTTTCGTTGGCGTTGCTGTGCTGCAGAGGCGGAACCCCTGACACTTGGAACCCAAACCGAGTAAGAAGACCTTGTGCCCCAAAACGGGGCCACAAACCCTTGTGAAAGACGTGGGACGTCAGCATTCCTGCGATGGGGTTCGCCCAGCCATCGTTTATGCAGGGGTTGCAAGTAGAGTCGTGCTGCCTTTTGCTATTTGGGAGTAGGCAGACGTGGATGCAGTTCCCTGCCGAGCTTCCGTCGCTAGGAGTGTTGCAAAGCACGTAAACCTGAAGAGGGGAGCGGAGTGGAGCGGAGCAGACCCTAAAGCCTTTGGAGCTGCAAAGGAATGCGAGAAGAAGCCCTTAAAATCCCTTGAAAGGAGCGGCTGGGGTGGAAGCCAGAACGCAAAAGCTGGCAAAAGCCCCGTCTCCAAAGTCTTGCAGAAGCATCCCGAACCCAGCTGCGGCATCGCAGGACCCAGAACCTGCAGTTGCTTTCACGTGTACACAGGCAGAGTCATGTTGACAGAGAGTCGCAACCAGCAGCTGCACGATCAGGGAATATAGTGGAAAGACCAAGCTAACTCCCAAACCCAACCGGGCCTCAGAAGCGCCAAACGGCACAAGTGCAGCGGCTTAGGTGGAGCAGAGGACCATCCGACACACCAGCGAGCTCAAAGAGACTTGGCTGCTACAGGTCTCCGTTTGTCACGGTCCGACTTTTCGAGACCTGCCGAGACCTGCCAAGTAAGAGGATTTGCATGGGATGCAAGAGCGTGTCGATTCGACTTCATGTGCACACAAAGAGTTTCTTTGCCTTGACATGCGTCGAGCCGCGGGCAGCTGTGTGTGTGTGTGTGTGTGCGTGTTCATGGGAGTCTTTATAAGGCCAGGGCGCCTGCTGCCACAGACAGTGTGCGCTGAATTTTATTTAAAGGGTATCAATCCATGGTTTTGAAGATTGGCTCGTCTGGTGTGTTGGTATTGGTAGCACCTGCTCCTTCCAAGGCAGTGATGAAAACCGTCGAAAAGCACGGGCTCAGTGAGGTGGGGTTTATGCGAATGCCTTCTGATGTCTTGATGTTCTGCAAGTACTGTTAGCTGGGTCTCACACTTCATGTGAAGCCCGCTAAACCAGAGTGGAAGCACATGTAGGCTTGCATTAGCGCCGGGTTCCACGGCACTTGCCAGCAGCAATTGGGGCAAATAGAAGGATGCCCGTGTTTCTGTGCTTCGATTCCCAGACAGATCGCGCATGAGTGGGCCGGCAGGATGGAATGACGCCGCTGCGCCAGCAGCTGGCAGACATGGTGGCTTGGCAGCAAGAAACTGTGACTGGTGTGACTGGTCCCACAACTGCTTCACTCCGCCGTACTCCGCAAACAGAAGCCACGGCTCAAGCGCTTCTCTGGAGCAGGCCCGACGAGGCCGACCAGGTTTGTTCCCGTTCCACAAGTACAGACGTCTAGAATCTAGCGAACAGCCATGCAGGTTCGGAGTGCCGCCGAGTGGCTTGAGATGGTACCTCTCCTCGCTTCAGACTTCGGCTGGGACGTGGCTGTGCAAGATGGGGGTTCGAGCTTGATCCACCACCCCTGCCCTTGGGGCGGCCATCTGGTGAAGTTTAGCATTCGCGAAGTCCCAATCGAAGATTTTGATGGCCATATCATGATACGACCGGAGACTTGGAACACGCATGAGCTTTTCTCCCCTCAGAGTGGGCCGTCGGAGATGATCCAGCATGATTCACCAGGCAACATCGTAGTGAGGCAGCCATCTTCCGGAAATATGTTGCAGCTTGGCGGCCTTGTTTTCGGAGACTTGGACAAGGCCGCGCGTGCAGACCTTAGCCAGCCAGTGGTTTGCCGACAGCGCTACTTTCGAGCCTTTCCGACGCGCTCAGACAGCACCGTAGTCTTCTCGCGGGAAGGCGGAGACCCTTCCGAAGCGTTGCTGATCTGCCGTAGGGAGGAAGAGAAGGTGCAAGAGATTCATGTCTCCTTCGTCTTCGTCGTCTCGACCGATCGGCTCAAGGCCTGGCTATCCACACATGTCATCGTTGCGTTGCAGCGCGTACGGAAGCAGGCAGAATGGTATTTCCAGCGTCCCGGACTTGTGGAACTTCGCTCGTTAGACTCAAAGATGTACATGGTTCTTGGGGTGCGCTGCTGTAAGAACGGCCCACCACTCCTGCCGCTGGCAGAAGGCTCGTCTGAACCCGTCGACGCGATCGTTGAGACTGACAAGCGGATTTCGGCCAAACGCTGGACCCGCTGGCAGCGCGACACGTGTCGGCCGTGGCAGCTTCGTGCCTTTCTCCAAAAGTTCGCAGCACGCCTCGGTTTGAGCCTGGAGACGTACGATTCGCTAGATGGGCAGGCGCTTCCACGCTACCAGTGCGTGGTAAAGCGGGCAGCCTGGGAGCAAGTCCAGGCACAAGTCCAGGAAGCCTTCCTCTGGCAGAAACGAGCTTACCGCCGTGCCAATGGCGGAACCACAGCTCCCAGCCTCGACGTCGATATTCAGCCACGATACATTGTGGACAGCAGGATGGTGGAGCTGGGCCATTCTCGCAGGCAAGCGGCCGAGATGGCCTCCAAGCAGCACAAAGTGAAGGTGCGCCATACATTCATAGAGGTTGATGGTGGCGAAGTAGAGTCGGATTCGGGTGTCCCGGCGGAAAGGCCAGCACGGCGTGCCAAGACGGTACCCCGAACCATCGAAGGAAGTTTCTGAGTGCAACTGTCTAATTAGCTTTCCCATGCTTTCCCCACTCTGGCATGTTTCCAAGAACATAATGTACAGGATTGGACGTGCCACTTGTGACCCCGGCAATCAGGGTGAGGCGACCAGACCGGCCGCAGTGCACTCGGCATGTTTTTGCCTCCACGAGTCACATGTACTCTTCTGGCTGAGATGAAATTCTGGGTTCCCACGTTGGGACATAGTCGCTGGTCATGTCTCGTCGTGGCGGTTTGTGTGACAGCTGAGTGAATATAATGGGCTTGAAGCATTGGAATGTATGGATAGGAAAGTCTACCCGGGCCTACATACCCCCTGCTCCAGGAGACGCGAGCGAAGTCTACCCGCGACAACATTGATCGCCTTCACAGCCACGTCCACGCATCAGTGGCCCCTGGGGCAAGCAAGAGCAATGTCAGGGCATTGGGCGTGCAGTCAAAGAAAGTCCATGTTGTGTCATCTGGGATATTGAGCATGCGAACTTTGATCGTTCCGCCCGGGCCACCGGGCCACAACAGCCACCGTGATGGTTGTACCGTGTCACTGGAGCTGGCGACGTAGGAAGGTGCACCCTTTTCGGTTTAAACGTCAGTGCCGAAGCACACTTATATCTCCGTGATTCGGGCGTCACTTGGACCAACGGTTCTTCAGTTAATTCCACCCCTTTGCAGCACGAAGCCGCCAAAGCAACCTTCTCGGCTGTTTAGGTGTCAAGATGAGCATGGACCCTTTGCATTGCTCCCTGCAGTGTGGTGTGAGCCTGCCAGGAAGAAACCTCGTGATCGTAGCATTCGTAACCTTCAGACAGTCTCAGGCCAGGCTGGACGACGAATTCCAGCGCTTGGATCAAAGCCTCTCTGGGGATGTGATTCGCATGGAGCCACTGGGAGCTGTAATCCTGGACCTCGGAAGTAGGCTTTGAGGAGCTTGAAGGTTGAGATGGTTGATTCGGGAGTAGCTTTATCGTGGAGTTGGAACGTCTTCGTGCAATGACAACCGCCGGGGGGCATTCTTTGCAGGATGGGTATGTCGGAGCTACGGCTATGGCTAAGGTACTAAGGGCGCAGGAGATCTGTGCACTCGGAGCAAGTCACTCTGCTGGCCCATCCAAGGCTGTCCACGTTGAACAGCCACGTCCAAGACCTCCGGCGACCTTTGGCCCAGAATGCAGGGGTGTAGGGTGCAGAGGGTGGGATGGCTGAGGTGTACTATGCGAGTTTGGGGTTTAGGAGTCTTCCCATGACTTTCCACTTTGAATGCTATCCTCTCCTAGACTAATTACGAGCGCTAACGAGGCTAGCAACTTCAGTCGACCCTGCTTGAAGTTGAAAAGCATAGCCGATCAATGTACAGGTACTAGACTCTACTAGACCTGTTGGTGAGCACTGCTGCAGAGTGGCGTGCTCACAAAATGACAATGGCCGACCGAACTTGCTGTCGCACAGTTCTTCTCTGGAGGCCATTCTCCCGGCAGGGGGGTTGATCAACAAATATGGCGTCCGTACGAGGGTATACAGGAGTCTCCAAACACGCCCCGAAAGACTATGATCCATATGAGAAGGGTATCCGCGTATCCGCAAGGTGGGGGAAGTTCCCCATACTCCTTGTAGTCCCAGGAGATCACAGCAACTTTACCCTTTGGGCGCGCCCGGTGATGGAAGAGCTGCTGCCCATGCCATCCCAGGCCGGCGTAAGCTTCGTAAGGTTTTTCCGGTTTTTCAGATGCAGCGAGAAGGGACAGCCGAAGAAGCATGCATGTCACGGCTGCCGAGATGACGCAATGCAGCCGCCACTTGATTTGCTGCAGTTTTGCGGGGAGGCATGAGGCTGAACAACACCTCCTTGTGTTGAAACTGAGTATCTATGGGCAGCCAGCAAACATGAACTCCCGAGGGGAAGCACGTCGAAGAGCTTCAACTCTGAGCCCTCAAGTCGAATTTCTAAACCAGGCTTTTTTGCATCCCGGCAGGTCCGAAACATTGGAGAGGAGCTGGTCGTGCTGGGGACCGGGTTTTAGCATAAGGGCCATTCGCATAGCTGGGCATTCAGGGCCCTGAAATTGAGGTGACATTCTTCCGAAACTCCAAGCCCGCAGTTTCGAATCAAACAACGACCTCTCTCTCCCCTCCCTTCTTGGGTTTATAACAGGGCTTTTGTGGCTACCGTTTCTCCTCCTCGTATCTGAAAAGACTACCCCAATTTGCAGCGCAAACAGATTATTTGGCAAACTGGCCATTTCCATTGGGTTGCCTTTCCACGGCTTGGTCTTCGGTGTCAAGGCAATTGAGAGGTCCCACTCATAACCACTGCCGTTGCCGGATGTTGCCACCAGTCACCACCAGCGACACTCCATGCTCCCGTACTTTAAGATCTTCATACGTGCAAGCAGGAATCGGCAGGCGAGATGTGAGGATGATGTGAACAAGATCACTCGCCTTGGGCGCATTTTGGACGACAAGGCACCATGACTTTTTTCAGGATTTAATTTTCGGCTTCAATTCAAGAGGGTGTTGTCAATGCCGACCCTGACATCCGGATTTGTTAAATCATGATACTTGACAGCACGCAATGCGCATGTTTTATTCCGGGTTGAAATTGGGGACATAGTGATGGCACTGGAGTCCGAAGCATTCAAGCAAACTACGCAGGTTCTGCATCATTCTTGCCTCAACTGCTATAGCACGACCACTACCACGACCACTACCACGACCACTACCACCCCAGTACCACTACCACTACCACTACTGTACCACTACCACTACCACTACCACTACCACTACCACTACTACGATACGACGACGACACGACTACTCATCTCTGCTCTTGAGGAGTTTTCGTGTTTGAGTGCTGTCGCCTCTCGTACAGCTTGGGGCAGCCTCTGTTGCCTTGCAGACGCAAGGGCGTTCGCGCCCACAGGCAGTCAATCAATCAATCATACTCCGACTACTACGACTACTACGACTACTACGACTACTACTCCTACTTCCACTACCTACTACCTACTACCTACTACCTACTACCTACTACCTACTACCTACTCCCTACTCCCTACTCCCTACTCCCTACTCCCTACTCCTATCTCCTACTCCTACTACTACTACTACTACTACTACTACTACTACTACTACTACTACTACTACTACTACTACTACTACTACTACTACTACTACTACTACTACTACTACTACTACTACTACTACTACTACTACTACTACTACTACTACTACTACTACTACTACTACTACTACTACTAACTACTACTACTACTACTACTAACTACTACTACTACTACTACTACTACTACTACTACTACTACTACTACTACTACTACTACTACTACTACTACTACTACTACTACTATACTACTACTACTACTACTACTACTACTACTACTTACTACTACTACTACTACTACTACTACTACTACTACTACTACTACTACTACTACTACTACTACTACTTACTACTACTTACTACTACTTACTACTACTTACTACTACTTACTACTACTTACTACTACTACTTACTACTACTTACTACTACTTACTACTACTTACTACTACTTACTACTACTTACTACTACTTACTACTACTTACTACTACTTACTACTACTTACTACTACTTACTACTACTTACTACTACTTACTACTACTACTACTACTTACTACTACTTACTACTACTTACTACTACTACTACTACTACTACTACTACTACTACTACTACTACTACTACTACTACTACTACTACTACTACTACTACTACTACTACTACTACTACTACTTACTACTACTTACTACTACTACTACTACTACTTCCTACTACTTACTACTACTTACTACTACTTACTACTACTTACTACTACTTACTACTACTTACTACTACTTACTACTACTTACTACTACTACTTACTACTACTACTACTACTACTGCTACTACTACTACTACTACTCCTACTACTTACTACTACTTACTACTACTTACTACTACTTACTACTACTTACTACTACTTACTACTACTTACTACTACTTACTACTACTTACTACTACTTACTACTACTTACTACTACTTACTACTACTTACTACTGCTTACTACTACTTACTACTACTTACTACTACTTACTACTACTACTGCTGCTGCTGCTGCTACTACTGCTACTACTACTACTACTACTACTACTCCTACTACTACTACTACTACTACTACTACTACTGCTGCTACTACTACTACTACTACTACCATTACTACTGCGACGACGACGACGACGACGACGACGACTACTACTACTACTACTACTACTACTACTACTACTACTACTACTACTACTACTTACGACTGCGACCACGACGACGACGACTACCACTACTTCCACCTACTACTATGTACTATACCATCTATGAAAACGACTTCGTTGGGTGGATCACAAATGCTCGCTAGGTAGAAGTGTTCGATGACCTCCAACGGCGCATGGAGGAGTTGAACGCCAACGCCCAGCCGCAAGCTAAGAACTACACTCGGGGCCTCATCACGTGGGCAAGTCGCATTCGATTAACGACTGTAAAAGCAGCCCCCCATGCATCCCGTTGTTCTCCAGAACCCTCCAGGCGAGTCTTGGGCTCCCAGTTTGCCGCATCCGTTCGCTGCCTCGGCTGCCGCGAGCCAATCGTCACCGAGGAGGCCTGCTTCGGTGGGTGATCGAAAAAGTCGCGAGGAACAATCGCTTCCCTCTAAAACTAAACCACACCCTAATTTTGAATTTTTTTCCCGGACCCTCCCGGCACCCAGCCCAATACTAAACCTGTTTGAGAGTTAGGGGTTGTTCGAGGGTCCCGCCGTTGAGTTGAGCCATTAGGGTTTTCAATTAGGGTTTAGGGCTTAATGCTCAGTGGATTTTCAGGGTTTAGCGCTCGAGGCTGAGAGGGTTCAATTAGGATCTATAGGGCTTAAGGCTGCCCTAACTGAACCCTGAACCCCAAACCCCATACGCTCCCTCATTCTCTCCCAACCTTCAGATTTCGGGCTTTAGGGTTTAGGTCCCCCCTAAGTTTAAATGTTTTCCGGCCGAGGCGAATTTTAGAATGGGGGGGGGGGGGAGGTTTTAGAATTTGGGGGGAGGGATTGGTCCTGGTAGTCTCAGTAGCTCCCGAAAAGCGGCACACAATTCGCGTCTTCGTAGCTTCCATGCTTCATGCGTATGACGTATGACACAGGTCGCAGTTGCCATAGCTCTGCCAGGGCATGGCCCACAATAGTATTATGTAGTATTCAACAACAATCAGCGCAGCTCACAGAGTCACAGACATTATCGTTTAAAGGTCACGTGGAGTGGTGTGATCGCAGGACAGCTGGGCCCAACGCTGTCGAACGCCCTCACCACCCAGGACTGGTGCATACAAATGTTCGGGTGGCGAGCGGCTTCACTTGTTTCAGGTCGAAAATGGCGGCAATGAGCTTAGATGGCCATACAGGTACGACGAAATCAGTTTGATCTGGTTATGCTATGTGTTCACGTTTATAAGTTGCTTGTTCTTGCTGTTGTTGGGTTTGTACCTCAGTCGTAAGTAAGATCTTCTGACAGCCTGGGAGACAATTTGTCAACTACGGACGCCTGTGGAAAGCTGATGTTTGAAAGTTCCAAGCTCTGAATCTCTCCGGTCGGTGTCTATAGGTTGAGCTATTGCCTTATCTTCTCGCTTGGAGGTTTGGATGCCGCAGCAAATGAATGTGTATTATATTTTTCATTTTTCTTTTGAAATATATTTGTAATTAAAAAAGTTGATATATTGATATTTGTGTAGAGTGTGGTATTCTAAAGAAAGTCAGCCGCAAATGCTATGCGAAAAAATGTCGCCGCTGTCGTTCATTTCTTAAGTAAGTACTCTGACATATACGCCCATGTTGCATGGGAAGCATGCCTGTTGCTGTTGCGCACGCTGTTTTCACGACATCCACACCCAGAACCCTACACCCTAAACAGTTTGCTTGGCGATGCCAAATAAATCCCCGAAAGAGGATCAGAGGATCACCACAGCGGTTCCGAGTAGTCCGCAGGTTCTATTGGCCTCGCCAAGACCCCACATCGTGGAACGCGCTCTGTTAGAGCACGTTTACAGCAATGCATACATACATTTCAAAGACACAAAATCATCGCAAAACTGCCATGAAAACTTCAGGAAACTTCTAGAACCTACCTAAACCTACACAACCCCTCGGCTCCGTTGTTGTAGCTGCATGTGTTTGATGTTGGACGAAGATTTCCATGGTTGGCTGTTGTAGAATTGGTAGGGTACCCGGCGGTTGTCAATGTCCATGGAGTGTTGTTTATTGCTGCTAAGGCCGTAGAACCTGCACGAAACCCTCAACCCCAAACCGTATGCCCCCGGGGGTTTTGCCATGTCCCTGAAAAAAACCTCCACTTTCTTCAACATCAACAAAAACTTCAACTTCTTTCACAAGGCTGCATGAAAAAGGGTCTCTCCTCTGTTGATGAACGGCCTACACCCTGCCGTTGTTGAGACCGTTGCTGAGAATAATTTGGTTCTACCTTGTTGGGTTGTCTCGCAGGCCCACCGTCGTCGGTGCGCACTTTGAACCCGCGACGCCAAAGACGACACCCCGGCGCAGGCTACGGTGGAGAAGAGCAGTCACCGCGCTCTATGTCTCTCTCTCGCTCTCGCTCGCTTGCTCTCTCTCTCTCTCTGTCTCTCTCTCTCTCTCTCTCTCTCTCTCTCTCTCTCTAGTTTCCTTTCCAAAGAAGAAGTCCAACTTGTTTAGCCAGAGGGTGGTGGATGGTTTTTGCTCGGCGTCAACATCAGGAGGGACCATTCGCAGCCTCTCCAAAAGCCTAAGATCCGGTCACCGCCATCGTGTCGGTTCGCAAGACCATATACTTTTCCTCACTGCTTTTGCTTGCCTTCCACCCATCGCGTCGCCATGTCGCACCGCGTTGCCGCCATCCAGCGCCAGGTCCTCGCAGGATCCACATCCGTCAGCGGTGGCCTCGAGATTTCGGCTGTGGCTGCGCCAGAGGACGCCTTCGCGCAGCGTTGTGCTGAGATGAAGGCCTGGATGGCCGCTGACCGATTCAAGTACACCACTCGCCCTTACAAGGTGGAGGATGTGGTGAAGCTTCAAGGAACACTCCCGCTCCACTTCACCGGCGCAAAGATTTCGGAGAAGCTTTACACGATGCTTCGAGACCATCAGGCCAAAGGCACTTGCTCCCACACTTTTGGAGCCCTGGATACCGTGCAGGTGACTCAAATGGCCAAATACTTGACGTCAGTGTATGTCAGTGGGTGGCAGTGTTCTTCCACGGCCTCCACTAGCAACGAGCCCGGCCCAGACGTGGCAGACTACCCCTACGACACCGTGCCCAACAAGGTGGACCAACTTTTCCGCGCACAGCTCTTCCACGACCGCAAACAGTTCGAGGAGCGCCTCCGCATGTCTCCCGAGGAGCGCGCCAAGACCCCATACGTGGACTACCTGAACCCAATCATCGCTGATGCAGACACAGGCCACGGTGGCCTCACTGCTACGATGAAGCTGGCAAAAATGTTCATCGAGAACGGCGCGGGCGGCATCCACATAGAGGATCAGAAGCCTGGAACCAAGAAGTGTGGCCACATGGGCGGCAAGGTGTTAGTCTCCACTCAGGAGCACATCCAGCGCTTGATTGCCATCCGTTTGCAGGCGGATGTCCTCAATTCACCTCTGGTCATCGTTGCTCGCACCGATGCCGAGGCTGCCACAATGATCGACTCCAACATCGACCCAATCGACCACCCGTTCATCAAAGGCAGTACGGTTCAGGGCGTCGAGCCATTGTATGAGGCCATGCGCAAAGGCACGGACAAGGACTGGGAGCAGCGTGCTGGCTGTATGACATTTCCGCAAGCGGTCTCGAAAGCCCTGAAGGCCAAGGGCAAGGACAGCAGCCAGTGGGAGCAGGAGTCCCGCAAGATGTCCATCGACCAGATGAGGAAGAAGGCTGCCGAGTTGGGCTGCGATGTGTTCTTTGACTGGGATGCCGCGCGCTCTGTGGAGGGCTACTACCGCATCCATGGCTCGACCGAGTTCTGCATTGAGCGTGCCATTGCTTTCGCACCGTATGCCGACTGCATCTGGATGGAGACAGGCAAGCCAATCCTGGCTCAGGCAACGCAGTTTGCCAAGGAGGTGCGCGGCGCGGTGCCCCACCAGATGTTGGCCTACAACCTCAGCCCCTCCTTCAATTGGGACACCGCCGGCATGACCGATGCGCAGATGGAGTCTTTCATTTGGGACTTGGCGAAATTGGGCTTCTGCTGGCAGTTCATTACGCTTGCAGGATTCCACTGCGACGCGTTGAACATTGACCTCTTTGCGAAGGAGTATGCCAAGCGGGGAGCTGCGGCTTATGTGCAGATGATCCAAAGGGAAGAGCGCAAGCACAAGGTGGAAACGCTCACGCATCAGAAGTGGAGTGGCTCCGAGATTGTTGACGAGATGGGCAACGTCATCAGCGGAGGTTTGTCTTCTACCGGCATCATGTCCGCCGGCGTCACGGAGAAACAATTTTGAGCGCACCGGCGAGGATGCCGCCCGGTGTTGCTTTCGATTTTCGTATGCAGCGACGAGGTCAGTGGCCAGCCACGGTTGAGGCTGCGACCTCCTGCCTCTCACAGCTGCTCTAGTGACATCTGGACTTATGTAGTGAAGCCGGGTTGTCTTGAATCGGACTGCGTATCTGATATGTTGTGTATACTGCAATAGCACACGCACACAAGAGCACCCGGCCTAGCTAGTTTTCGATGTTTTTTGTGTCCGACTTTGTGCGCTCGGGCTGCGGCAGCACTCGCGTTTTGATGCACGTGTACAATCGTGTACACGAGAGCGTTTCAGTACCTTTGTAGGCTCTGAGGCATGAAGACGCACAGTGCCTTGCGGCCCGACTTGCAGCCCCTTGGGCCCATAGACCCGCCCAAGGAAGACTCCTGCCGCTCAGCAGTTATTTATAGTTCCCTTCTGTGTAGATGTTAGTGTAGACCTGTTCTGTTCTAGTAAGAGGTGATATGCTACCCTTTTGATGGGCAGGAGCTGGAAAACATTCTCCCAAAGCTGTTGTTGGAAAGACAAGCTGCAGTGCGGCTGTCGCACGACGCCGCAGCATACGCAGACAGGTGCAGTGGGCGGATCCTCCTCTGGGAGAACGTTTGCTGCAGCATCAACTCGTGTTGGTCTTTGCAGCTTTTGCAGGTGACTACCACGAGGACTGCCCACACACCTGCCTTCAACACTCATACTCTTGGAACAAACCCCACCTCTGCCTGCATTTGTCAAAGGCGGACGGAGAAAAGCTTGCAAGTTGCTTGAGCCATTTTCACTCCCCAAAAATCCCTCGAATTGCTGGCTCAATATTTCTTCGTCCGAACGAAGTAACCATAGACCATGCCGATGTGAAGCCTAAAGCTAGGTGTATATCTATATTTATGTGTATGCACATAATCCATGTATACGTATATATATATATATATGTAAGATATACTATTGCGCTATGCTCATCTAAGCTCTGCAAACCCTGACTCTGAGAGGCCCCAGAGTGCGGGCGCTCGCCTCGGGGACAGCGGCGGAACCTCGGAGTGTGGAAGGTTGAGAATCCATATTGTAGACGCAACATTCACACATACATATATGTACATATATATATAGGTATAGATATAGATATAGATATATATACGTGTAACAGATTAACAAGTTGCATCTTGCCCGAGAACCTTTTCTTTACAGTGGGACTTCATCCGGGGTGCTAGACATTTCCCAAGCCCTCCCAGGCCCCGCCAAAAAAGGAGCCATGGCTTTAGGATTTTCGGGTTTTCATGATTCAGGGCAAGGGCGTATAGGGCCTGAGGCATTCTAGTGGTGAGAAACTACTAACGGGTTAGGGCTTGCTTCCTCCTAGCCCAAGGCTGAGCGAAGTGTCTACATGGTGTTTGCATACATTTTCCTTCTTAACGCCTGAACAACTTAGCCCCAAACACGGTGGATTGAGGATCGGAGGAGCGTTTCAAGTCGGCTACGGGCCAGGACGGCTAGCATGATCGGCTCTTCTGACGGCCTAATTAACGTCTTTCGCAGGCAGCAGGTAAGAATCGAAGGCTTGTCGCATGGCGTGCCTCAGCCACGAATCGCCAGATTGTCTGCTATCAGCGAAATAGTAGCTCCCAGTCCAACAGGAGAAGCTGGTCCTCACGGTTCCACGTGTTCGCAACGACTTCTACTCTTATGCAGCCAGGCATTGACCCCTCAACCCAGAATCCCAGATACCCTTTCACTTTCAGCTTGCACGTAGCTTGCAAAGTCACTGGGCGGCCGTTATTTTTGAGACGATATCAATGCTAAAGGTTCATACCTCAGTGCAAGACACAGTCATTCCCTTGCTTTGTAGGCCCCTGTGGCCGACAAATACGCACCAAGGTCAAACTCGGTGCGAAACCCCAAGTTGGAATGATAGAGCCTTAAAGGTGCAGCAGAAGCAAGGAAGAACACAGCTAACATCTACTCAGATGTCCACACGATTAGCAGAGCGTTTCTTGTAAGCCCAGAGGCAAGATGGATGAGTTCGGGGTTTTATGCCACCTCAACCTTGCCACTGACTAAGGCAAAGACGGTCGGCAAAGCTGACCCAGGAGGCTGCAACGGTTATGGAGAAATTGCGTTCCACACATTAAAGTCACCGACTGTTTCAATGCGACTGGCACCAGGTGAACTGGTGCAGGGCATGGGTTGCAGGGTTCGGCTGCTCAGCAAAAATTGTAGACGCTCGCGCGCCGCCTCGGCAGTCGGGCTGGCCCAACGCGCGGTGTAGCGTGCGCATCGCAGACGGAAAGCACTTCGGAAAGCCCAGTTTTATGTCACTTTTGGTGGGGAAGCGGACCCAGAGGGGCGATTTCAGTGGGGGATCGAGGCGGGGTAGACGGTAGGCCTCGGCTTGCGGCTCCAGCAGGTCGCACCGGGGAGTGGGACAGTAACTTTTTCGGGGCGACTTGTTCCAGACGCCGCTCGCCCGGAAGCCGCTGATGACGGGAGCCAGGATGCTTTTCTTGACATTGACTGTTCAGGATTCACCGGTGCCGTGCGCGGCGTCTCCATGGCCGCTCTTGCTGCCACCTGCCACATTCGAAGATTAGACTCTGCTGACAAGTGCCTGCTTTCATGGTCCGCACTCATTATTCCTAGCTGCGATCCATATTTGTGCAGATTCACGTGGAACTCCGTGCGGGGCTGCTCGTGCCACTTGTTAATGCCGTGAGGTTGAAGTCTTGTTCACCCGTCATCCTGGCCTGCGACAGCTGCCCTTAAAGCACAGCGCCACGGCGCCACGTGCACGTTCCAAACGGAAAAAAAACTCTCCAGAGCCCCCCAAATCACCTCCGCGATGTGAAGTATTGGGAGCCCTTGGGAGACCATCGTACCCATGGAGACCTAGCCACCGAAGCTGAATCATGGAACGTGGAGGGGGGGGGGGGTGTATTGAAAACAAAAGCCCATTTATAGCCTCTGATGGCTAAATTTGGCTATATGAACCTATACCTGTACCTCAACCAGGCGAAAAGCGCGGCGCCAAAACGACAGCCGCCAGCGGCGACAGCGCGGAGGTGGCAGTCTTTCCGAAAGCCAAGGAATATTGAAGAGATCAGTCAGTTTCTTCTCTGTCTAGGGGAGGGGCGGCCTTCACGAAGTGAACACATCATGCCAACACCAGTGCAACCCATTGTTGGTGTGCAAATTTGAGTGATAAAGTACGCTGGCTACCGGTTGGTACTGTACGGCAGGCTGTGCTCATTATAATTACAGATCCGGAAATTGCTTTCCTAGGAGGCAATGTAATTGAACCGAGGAGTTACGCACGCTGTACCCACGTGAATGAGGCTTCTAGAAGCCAAGCAGAACAGGCACGGTCGCTATGACCTTGAGGGCCTTGAGTCGCCGGTTGCATTTTGGACTGTTTAGGGTTTGGGGTCTAGGGTTGAGGGTTTAGGGCTCAGGGTTTAGGGTTTACGGTTTAGGAGCCACCAACCCCTTCGCCTGAGAAAGCCAAGGCCCTGAAGCACACATGTCACACTCCAGCGAAGGAGACCGCAAAGTGCACGTGCAAAGCTTCAGACAGGCGGGAAGGAGACACAAGATCAGGACGGTCGTTGAGCCTTTGTGGGATTTTAGTCCTGAAGTTTCGGAATGTTGGAAGTGGTTCAAGCCTCCGGGGCAAGGTGTGGAGCACTGTGTGCCAAGTTGATGCGCACGAGCCCCCGAGGGGCCCATAAACTGAATCGCCGCGCCTGCTGAATTGAATCACCATCATCGGCTCTGCGTTCTCAGCTGACAGTTCTGTTGTTACCATCTACTGTTCTGCTGCACTTCTGAACACCTCATAGGTGTTGTGGGTCTAGGTCTGTTAGAGTAGTATTTATCTGTTTGTCCGTGGGCAGGCACATCTGACAGCATGGCTTGACAAGGCGAGGTCGACTTGGCCCTGCGACTTGAGTATGCAAGGGCCTGCATCGGTTCTGACATAGTCTGACTTCGCATTCCAAGCGTCTGAGGCTACGATCCTGGAGTGTCAGGTAAGTCAGGAAAAATGCTTTGTGTCTCCCACTTTCCAGAACCTCAGAGGTGAGATGAGCCGGAAGATTTCAGATGCCGTGCCTGGCAGAAAGGAGGCAAGCCGCGGGTGGATTGCCGGAGGTTGCACCATGGAGCGTTTTAGGCTATAAGGCTAAGATCCTGCAGACCATGAGCTCTCAACTCGCGAGGCTGACGTATTGTTTTGACACGCCGGCGGCCTGGGCACCCCCAGCGTCAGCCTTTCAGCTTTGGGGACATTAGAACCCTCAACCCTAAACCCTAAACCCCACGGTTTAGGGTTTAGGGCTTAGGGTTTAGGGTTTAGGGTTTAGGTTTCGCCTCGCCTTCATGAGCACCCATCGCCAGCGCGGCCTTGCATGATTCTCGGTGACTCCCGAACCAGGGACGTGGTCGGGCCAAACTGGTCCAGCCACGGCATTTTTCACCGACGACCTCCTACTCCGGCCAGGTTCCGTTTCAGGGTTGAGGGATGTTGAGGCCCTCAACTTGAGGGCTTATGGGTGGACTTGAAAGAGTGCCTGTCGGAAAACGGCCAAATGGGGTTTGCAGAGTTGAGGGTGTGCCTCCGGAGGCTAGAATCTGGCGAGCACTTGCCTGCAACCCCCTCCAGATTTTGGCAAGTTCTCCAAGCCAGAAAGACTTGTTCACGGCTTGCTTCATGCTTCACAACGAACCATAATTCATGGCGAGCTGCCATGAATCCAAGCCATGTTCCGGGCCTTACAAAGGCGGCTGCGTGTAGCAAGGGCTTCCTGGCTGCAACCCCTTCATCCTACTCTTCGTGCCTGTCGGGGGGCGTGTGCAGCGCTATCCATGACTGGAATCACAGGCCTCGTCTTTCCAAAAGCGCACGTCGCACCCTTCCAGGCGAGAATGTTCATAACATTGGCCAGGCTCTGCTCATGCATAGTCCCGAGGGCGCAGTTCTGATTCTGCAGGCAGCCACAAGTACCCGCGCGGTCCAAAAGGTACGGGTAGGGCTAGGGCATGGTGATTCAGGGTTCGCATTGAGGTGCGGCTTGATTTTGGAAGTTTAGAAGGTCCATCTGAGGACATAGGATCAGAGGATCCCCTTGGCCCTTTTTCTCTCCCATGTAGAATTGTCCTTTAGAACGAATGGCGCCCAGCATCAGTATAGTTGAACTTTGGCAAGAGCCCTCCTGAAGTCACGACACTCAGAAAGTTCCTGGAAGACTGCTGGGCTGTGTTCTCGGGCCAGTGTGATCACCTTAGGCATGGCGCCCAGCCTGTGGTTTATTTAACATCTTAAGGGCTTCATTCCCAGAGCACGTACCACACCACGGACCCTCATCAAATATGCAACGTCAGTTCGTAATGTTCGCGGATGTCAGGTGTTGTACGTGTACATGAAAACATACTCCTTTTCGCACACAGATATGCATGCACCTGAAACTGGCGACTGAGCGAGTGCCGGGCACCGTCTCTTGAAAAGATAGACGCTTCGTGGTTCAGCACGCTGACATGCAAATCCACAACGGCTTGCCCGCAGGTGGATTCAGAATTCCAGCGGGGGACGTGTGCAGTTGCGAAATTGCCCGTAAATGTCTAGCTTGTTGCAGAAGTGCAATGAGCACATTTGAGGTGTTGAGGGTGGATCTTCACTAGGGTAAGTCTGACAGCCAGCGGGCACATATACCGTCGGCTTGCCTTTCAGCCCCAACAACTGCAGCCGGTGGTCGATGCGTTGGGTCTGCCATAAAGAAGAGGGATTCACGCCCCCTGTCGACCAAATATAATGCCCGCATCGAGGATGCTCAAGTTTGCCGGGCGCAGAGCAAGTGAATAGGATCCGTGAAGCTTCCCGTGTTTCCTGTGTTACTGGTATGGACTGCGTCGAGGATTCGGGTGCGAGGACTTTGCTCGGAGAAATCCCAGCCATGGCGTTGTCAGGCCACATGTGCTGCGACGCGCGAGGCTTTCGACAGGATTAGGACCTCGGGTGGTTTGGGGCCATTTTGGGCTTCTTAGCTGAACGCTGGAACCAACCCTTGGCTTCCTACCCCTGCTACAATGGCCAGCTGAGATGCAAGCTATGTCGGATTGCCCCAAGCCTCCCTGAAATCTCGGCTCATCGCGCCTACTTGGGGATGAGACGGTTCTGACCTCCTTAAGGGCATTTGAAGTCCATTTATGTCAATACGATGACAGCAACTCCTTCCGTGGTCAGGCTTCAGGGCTCTTGGAGGTTTTGCGTTCAGGAAGGTCCTGGTTTATGCAGTCTGGAATCTCCTGAAGTTCTAAGCCTTTCTAAGCTGCAGCACGGCGCAGCCTTCAGAGAAGCAGCTGCACCGCTGGATGCTCTCAAGCAGGGATTTACGCGTGGGAAGGCGTAGCTGACAAGGTTGATGCAAAACCTATCAAAGCCAGCAGTCGATTAAAAACATACACTGATACTTACGCGTGCACCTGTGTTTATTGCCGATGCGTTGCCTTCCCTCGACGTCCCACTTCACCGAGAAAGACTTCTGCCAACAGAGCCGCTGGCTTGGCAACGACACTTGAGCTCACAGCTGGCCGACCTATACAACGATCAGCACCTGCCAGTCAGGGCAAAGCCGCGTTCTTTGTTGATTGGTTTCACAGATGAAATCACGGATGTGTGCCGAGAGCTGGCCACATGATCGACCGAGCAATAGCCCGCGGCGCAGAAAGGACGGCCCCTTGGTGCCTTTGTGCACAGGCCCTGGGCCCTCCAAGTCTAAACTAGTGGGTTGGTAGGCGAGTGAGGTTCTTATAGAGACCCATCAGCCAGCCATCTGTCAGGGGCACACGGCGCCTAGACATGGATTCCTTCGTTCTTGGCTCGTAAGGCTCTCAGCCGCAAGCTCTCCCGCATGCTTTGGCAGAGCAGCTGCAAGACAAGGACACTAATGGATTGCAAAACAGGTGCTTGAGGAGCAGGCTTCTAGCCGTTCGGAGGCCTGAATTCTCGGCCATTCCTAGACGGACCCTCCGGACCCTCGCCTCTGTGAAGGAGATCGTCCGCACGGCCGTCGAGGGTCAGGGCAAGGTACTGGTCTTTGTCCCCGTGGAGCTGCGGGACGACGAGCCACTTCCGAGTTGACTGTAGCGGTTTGGGGTTTAGGGTGTAAGGGGTGTAAGAAATTCAGGGTTTAGGGTTTGGGGTTTTCGAGACTTGAGAGAGGGGGTCTTCGAGACTTGGAAGTTGTTGTGCACTTGGGGGATTTGAAAGTACAGTTGTTTACATTACTTGTCAACGCTTGCGCGCTTCGCCTCGGCAGCCTGGCCGGGTCCTCAAAGTTGCAGGGAGGGGGGGGGTTGGGTCCCAAGGAGGGTCCCAGAAGGCTTCGCGCATTGTGGGCGCTGCCTCTGGTCTGCAGCTCAAGCGATCCGCGGGGGTGCCACAGGGGGGGGGGGGGGGCGCGAAGGGATCCCTGTCTGCTTGTTTTAGACGCCTATCGGCAGGAAGCCGAGGCGAACTTTGTTCGGATGCATACGTAGCACCTGAGTTGAACATTCTCTTGGAACCTTTGACGGCGTCGGGGTTGTGTTGTGTGAAGGAAAGATGAAATATAGTTGCGGCTTGGGATATGCTTCAGAATCCAGTTTCGACTTAGTGGGAAAGTCGACCATTGAGAGCGCTGGTCAAACTGGTGGTGACGATTTTGCTCTAGGACGGCCCCGGGCCTGGATGCTGCCCTTGTGCCTGAAGCTGTTCATACGCTTTAAGCCGAGAGAGCCCAGGAGTCCATCGTGCAAGCAGCCGTGGCGCAAGATGGTTTGGCATTGGAATATGCCAGCGCAAGGCCCCCACGCTACAGCTTGTTTGCAATTTATTGCACTGCAAACCACACGCCTCAAACACCAAGAGCACTGGACACTGTTAGAGGCTGCGTGGGAAGTGCGAGATTGTGCTCGCTGCCCTTGGGCAGAACCCTGAGGCCATGAATTCGCGTTTTGGGTAACAGTTCAGTCGTCATGAAACGGCCTCCTTATTCATGCTGGCTTCATGTTCTGACGCAGTACACTTTGCGGAGTTTGGCTACGCCGGATGTGAAGACATGCCGCCCAATGCATATCTTGTTGGATGTGAGCTGCTGGGCGTGGGTGTGCGTGAACATGGGTATGCCTGAACACGTTGCCTCCAACCTGAGCCACGCTCCTCGAAACCCCCGTCGCTCTTTTTTTTTTTTTCTGGTACTGGTTTCTTCCGATAGTTTTGTGGGACACTTGGGGCAGTGATGGAAAGGCTCTCTGCTACGTGCTGCCGGCAACGAGGCTTGGTCTGCCCGAGGGTGGGTGCTATCAGGGCTGTTATCATGCGAAGCGTATATCTCCCTTAACATGCATTCATTCATGGAAATACTTCGATGGAGTCATGAAGGTGCGTAACTACCCCGAGTCTCGGAATCTGAGTCTTAAGAGCTCCGTAATTTACAGTTTTGCAGTGCTCATGGCTCTGAACTGGTGCTGGCTTCCTGGATGGACACATCTCTTGGACGCGCAGCCGCGCCGCTGCACAAGCTTGGCCTTTTTAGCCCAGGCTGCTACCCAGCATGCGGCATCGGATTGGGATGGGTTTACGCATCAACCTGAGCAACAGACTTGCATCTTAGCGTTGTCTTTCACCTGCAGCCTGCTGCCCAAACAAGAAGTACCAAAAAGACAAGCCCGAATCAGGGACGACACCCGGCTGATCGAGTTTGGCTGCTCGAGACATCCGGAGACGTGGCAGAGACGCAGGGATTGGATATGGCGGTCGTGGCTTGTTGCGCCTAGCTGTTCTATAACTATAGGGTGCGGGCATCTGGGCCTTGACTCCAAAATCACCACCTGACCTTGGCATCGAAAGTGTGGGATGATTTGCCCTCGCCCCGGGAGCAAGAGAAGGATCTGGTGGCCATGGTGGGCGACCGGCTCCGACCGATGGAGCTCGCCTCAGCCATTGGTGATGTAATGAGATGTAAATGGTTGTGTGAATGCGAACGCGAAAACCCTGAATCTGCTCGGTCAATTCTGTTGTGATTGCCGGTTCAGAGTCAGGCTGTTGCCACTTGCAGTACCTTGACTTCAGTCCCCCCCTGCCCCTGCCGCACTCTTCTCCTGTAAGGCTCTGAAGATGGCACTGGCGCGGCTGCGGATGTTGCGTGGCTTCTGAAGACTTGGTGGATTTGCGTGGGTTTCGGCTTTGGTCTTGAGTTGAGACCTCACACGACTTCAGCTGTTCAACCCTTACCCTCAAAACACCCAAAAACCTCATAAAACAAGGCCTTTGGGCCCAAACACCCTTACATAAGAGTCCTGGGAGCCTTAGGGTAAAAGATCGAAAACGAAAAGAATCACCCCAAGAGTGTAAGCTCAGGTTCGTGGAGCCAGTCCTCAAAGAGATGCAGGCAGTGGCCGGTGCTCCGACATGTCCTGCAGTCGACCCAAAGAGCCCTGGCAAGCTGCCAGGCCCGCTAGGCCTTGCGGCTTGCAGTTCACCTCGTCCTTAAACCTCCCCTCCACCGGTAGCCGCGCTTCGAAAACTCTAGGTCCCTCTTAAGCGTGAACAGAGATGAACCAAATTCCAACACAGGTCTTGTGGGACCATGCGCGGCCAATCTTCAGAAAGGCCTCCAGGAATTCCGGGTGGGATGGCCAAGCAAGTTTAGGGCATGGAGGGTGCATAGGCCACATTTTGGAGCAAGAGGCGAAGCTTTCACGCCATCAGTGGTCGCCACTTGTGTGTAGACGGACTTGTTGTCCTTGTTGTCATACATGGGCCGGGCCGGGCCATGCGTGCGGAAACTGCACATTATAGCGACACGACACTATCAGCCAGAAAGGACATGCAGGTAGCAAGGTTCAACCCCAACGCAACACACAACAAGTAAAATCACGTGGTGGATTGAAGGCCCAAAGACATCCCAAACCCCGTCTGAGTCGTGGTAAGTCTGGCATGCCTGGCAGTTGGGGTTGCATGTGGACTGAAGCCCAGATCCCAACATCCCTCATCTTGGATATCTCGGCAACCGATGCTGGCAGGTAAACTCCCTGCGTGACCTCCAAGTTGCCATCGATGACCCCAAGGACTTAGATCCGACAAGCCTAACCAGAATTGGACTGTGAGACGCTTCAACAGGGCGCAGGTTGGTTTCTAATTATCGTGCTTTAGTCGAGCTTGGTATCTGCTTTAACTGAGCTGCGTGGCAGCATAGCTCATCCGAGGGGTTTGCACGACGCCGGCAGTGCGCACGACAAGCCAGTGCGCAATGAAGTGCTTCAACTTTGGCGATGCTCAGGATCCCTGAACCGTCTAGGACCCCAAGAAGAACCAGCTTGACCGCAGTCAGCGTGCCTTCCAGGCCTTCTTGTCATCGCTGCGCGGGCGCAGCGACGACCTGGGCACGGAGCAGCTGGCAATGCACTTCTTTGTGGAGGTCTGGGTGTTGAGCCTTTATCTTTTTGAAAGTAGTAGGGCAAAGGGCAGAAACCCATTAAGTTTCGGGCTTTGCTTGTTGTACTGCCGATTATGCGAATTCCTGTACACAGATTGAAGAACTTTTGGGAGTTTACGTTGTCAGTTCATTTTGTCAAGAAGCTATGTGTCTGTGTACTTTCTTGTGTGGGCAGCCAAAAAGTTTCTGGTCACATGCGCTTCATTTCAGTAATTGTCTCGAGCCATCGAGGCAAACTGTGTTTGGTAATGCCATGCTGCACTTAGGCCTCAGTCCATATGTACAATATTTTCTAGATACATCCAACTACCAGTCGAAAAAAATTTAAATACATATATGAAAGAGCAGCCTTTAGGGTCTATTTAGCTCATTCCTTTTTTTAATAAGCAGAAACTAATTTAATTTATTTAAATAAATTAAACTATTTAAATAGAGAGAGCTTAATTAAATTATTTAAATCCTACGCCCTATTTTTTTGAATAAGTAAGGCGTCGGATTTAAATAATTTAATTGGCTCTGTGCTTGTCTATACTCACCTCCCACCACAATTAAATTAATTTAAGCGATTTAAACGATTTAAACGATTTAATTGGGCCCAATTAAATCGTTTAAATCCTACGGTCCAATTAAATTATTTAATTGAGGCGTCGGATTTAAACGATTTAATTGGACCCAATTAAATCGTTTAAATCCTACGGTCGAATTAAATTATTTAATTGAGGCGTCGGATTTAAACGATTTAATTGGACCCAATTAAATCGTTTAAATCGTTTAAATCGTTTAAATCGTTTAAATTAATTTAATTGTGGGGGGACTCAGCCAAGCCATAAACCAATTAAATCATTTAAATCCTACGGTCTAATTAAATTATTTAATTGAGGCGTCGGATTTAAATAATTTAATTGGCTCTGTGCCTGTCTGTATTCACCTCCCACCACAATTAAATTAATTTAAACGATTTACGATTTAAACGATTTAAACGATTTAAACGATTTAAACGATTTAATTGGGCCCAACTAAATCGTTTAAATCCTACGGTCCAATTAAATTATTTAATTGAGGCGTCGGATTTAAACGATTTAATTGGACCCAATTAAATCGTTTAAATCCTACGGTCGAATTAAATTATTTAATTGAGGCGTCGGATTTAAACGATTTAATTGGACCCAATTAAATCGTTTAAATCGTTTAAATCGTTTAAATCGTTTAAATTAATCTAATTGTGGGGGGACTCAGCCAAGCCATAAACCAATTAAATCATTTAAATCCTACGGTCTAATTAAATTGTTTAATTGAGGCGTCGGATTTAAATAACTTAATTGGCTCTGTGCCTGTCTGTACTCACCTCCCACCACAATTAAATTAATTTAAACGATTTAAACGATTTAAACGATTTAAACGATTTAAACGATTTAATTGGGCCCAATTAAATCGTTTAAATCCTACGGTCCAATTAAATTATTTAATTGAGGCGTCGGATTTAAACGATTTAATTGGACCCAATTAAATCGTTTAAATCCTACGGTCGAATTAAATTATTTAATTGAGGCGTCGGATTTAAACGATTTAATTGGACCCAATTAAATCGTTTAAATCGTTTAAATCGTTTAAATCGTTTAAATTAATTTAATTGTGGGGGGACTCAGCCAAGCCATAAACCAATTAAATCATTTAAATCCTACGGTCTAATAAAATTATTTAATTGAGGCGTCGGATTTAAATAATTTAATTGGCTCTGTGCCTGTCTGTACTCACCTCCCACCACAATTAAATTAATTTAAACGATTTAAACGATTTAAACGGTTTAATTGGGCCCAATTAAATCGTTTAAATCCTACGGTCCAATTAAATTATTTAATTGAGGCGTCGGATTTAAACGATTTAATTGGACCCAATTAAATCGTTTAAATCCTACGGTCGAATTAAATTATTTAATTGAGGCGTCGGATTTAAACGATTTAATTGGACCCAATTAAATCGTTTAAATCGTTTAAATCGTTTAAATCGTTTAAATTAATTTAATTGTGGGGGGACTCAGCCAAGCCATAAACCAATTAAATCATTTAAATCCTACGGTCTAATTAAATTATTTAATTGAGGCGTCGGATTTAAATAATTTAATTGGCTCTGTGCCTGTCTGTACTCACCTCCCACCACAATTAAAATTAAACGATTTAAACGATTTAAACGATTTAAACGATTTAAACGATTTAATTGGGCCCAATTAAATCGTTTAAATCCTACGGTCGAATTAAATTATTTAATTGAGGCGTCGGATTTAAACGATTTAATTGGACCCAATTAAATCGTTTAAATCCTACGGTCTATTTAAATTATTTAATTGAGGCGTCGGATTTAAACGATTTAATTGGACCAATTAAATCGTTTAAATCGTTTAAATCGTTTAAATTAATTTAATTGTGGGGGGACTCAGCCAAGCCATAAACCAATTAAATCATTTAAATCCTACGGTCTAATTAAATTATTTAATTGAGGCGTCGGATTTAAATAATTTAATTGGCTCTGTGCCTGTCTGTACTCACCTCCCACCACAATTAAATTAATTTAAACGATTTAAACGATTTAAACGATTTAATTGGGCCCAATTAAATCGTTTAAATCCTACGGTCGAATTAAATTATTTAATTGGGGCGTCGGATTTAAACGATTTAATTGGACCCAGTTAAATCGTTTAAATCCTACGGTCTAATTAAATTGTTTAATTGAGGCGTCGGATTTAAACGATTTAATTGGACCCAATTAAATCGTTTAAATCGTTTAAATTAATTTAATTGACTCAGCCAAGCCATAAACTAAATTATTTAGGTAGGGCTGGAGGGGCTGGAGGGGCTGGAGAGGCTGGAGGGGCTGGAGGAGCTGGAGAAGGGATGGGCTGGAAAGGGCTGCAGGGGCTGTGGAGGGGGCTGGCTGGAGGGGCTGGCTGGAGGGGCTGGCTGGAGGGGCTGCTGCAGGGGCGCTGGAGCTGGAGGGGTTGGAGGGGCTGGAGGGGGAGGGGTGGGGGGCTCCCCTACCCCTCCCCCCCCCCCCCCCCAACCCCCCACTCCCTCCCCCTAATTTACCACCTCACTTCGCAGAGCGCCACCCCACGCACCGCGTCGCACTTGCAACCTGCTCCCCTACCCCATCACCCCCAACAAGCCCCCTTGCCACAATTTACTACACCCACACCGCTCGCACCTAACCCCTCCTACCCCTCCACTCCAAACTACCAACCTGAAGTTATCATAATTATGATGACTTCAACTTCCCCATCATAAGTTATCATAATTATGATAACTTTAACTTCCCGATCTAAACTATCATAATTATGATAACTTTAAGTTCTTTATCTCAGAGTATGATAAATATGATAAGCAACTTTTCATAACTATGATCAGTTATCATAATTATGATAAGTTATCATAAGTTATCATACTGATGATAAGGTATCATAATTATGATAAATTGTCATAGTTATCACAAGCTATCCTCCTCGCCCTTTCCCGTTAAGAGTGCTTACGGCTTAAAGACCTTAGTACAAAAACTGTACTAAAGCTCAAAGAAAACAATGCTTATGATGCAGAGACTTTGGTACACTATGATGCGTCAAGACACAATGAAATTATGCTTGCGATCTAGACAGTGCGCCCTTTGAGATAGTTGAGAAAGAAAAAAATTGGCCGCGTGCCAATATTAATTGCTTGTAACGGGGCCGCGGCCCACATGCGCGACATACCCCGCTACAGGGAGTATGTATCAATGGTCGAAGTTTTGCGACAGACCTGTTTGTTGTTGTCTGCAGGTTCCAAGTCTTGCTTATCGGGGGGGTAAGTGTTCGTAAGTTTCAAGGAGCAAATACAAGTATCCCTGAATTTGAAACCCCCTTAAACTCTTAAAGGCTGAGAACGCGGAGTGGTTCCAAGTCTTGCTTATCGGGGGGTAAGTGTTCGTAAATTTCACCAAAAACATGACAATTTTTCCGCTGAATATGTGTCAGTAGAGCCGTGCTACCACAAAAAAGCATGACACATTTTTCGCGGAATATGTGTCACCAGAGTTCTCTAAGCACCATAAACATGACATTTTTTCCGCGGAATATGTGTCAGTAGAGCTGTGCTAACACAAAAAAACATGACACATTTTCCGCGGAATATGTGACAGTAGAGCCGTGCTAACACAAAAAAGCATGACACATTTTCCGCGGAATATGTGTCACCAGAGTTCTGCTAACACAAAAAGCATGACACATTTTTCGCGGAATATGTGTCAGTAAAGCCGTGCTAACACAAAAAGGCATGAGAAGGGCACCTATCTGTGAATAGCAAGATTGGTATTTCTAATTAGGGAGAGGCAAGGGAGATATGTAAAGCTTTGATTAAATAATTTACATAATTAAAACAATTTAAATAGTTCAAATAATGTAAATAACTTATATAGTTTAAATAATTTAAATCCGAGAAGGGGGGGGGAACCACCCTCCCCGCCCCCTAAGAATTAAATAATTTAAATAATTTCAATCCGAAACCTCCCCGTCGTACTTAAATTAATCATTATTAAATTCTTGAGAGGGGGGGAAGCTCCGGGCAAAACTTGGCCAAATCGAGCCGCGCCTTTCTCATCGCATACGAAGAGCAGCCCGATTTGGCCAAATTTTGCCCGAAAGCTGCTCGGCAAAATTTGGCCAAATCGAGCCGCGCCTTTCTCATCGCCTACGAAGCGCAGCCCGATTTGGCCAAATTTTGCCCGACAGCTGCCCGGCAAAATCTGGCCAAATCGAGCCGCGCCTTTCTCATCGCGTACGAAGAGCCTGATTTGGCCAAATTTTGCCCGAAAGTTGCCCGGCAAAATTTGGCCAAATCGAGCCGCGCATTTCTCATCGCCTACGAAGAGCAGCCCGATTTGGCCAAATTTTGCCCGAAAGCTGCTCGGCAAAATTTGGCCAAATCGAGCCGCG